ATTGATCAGGAAATTACGCAGTCAACCTATACAAACGTCGTTGAACCTTACGCGACGTCATGAACGCAGTAATTTTGGGTTAGCAAGAAATATTTCAACCTTTGTGGTTTTTGTTGATTATTTCTATCCATATAAGTTTTCATTTTTACTACCGTTCAATGCAAATTTTTGCGGTTATTCAGATATAAAACGCTTATACATTTGTTCTAAGATGCAACTGTCCCGATAGCAGAATTGTTGATTGTTGATGCTACACGAGTATCATTGCTTGCCAAAGCAGCATTTGAATCCAAACGGTCGAGTAGTGTCAATAGTCGTTTATGCTCTTGAGACAATTCCATCTTGAATCAACTGTATGAGTGCTGCAGATTGAAACAACCGCATGAAGCTAAACAAAGGTAAAAATAAAAACTCAAATGCATGAAAAATAATCAACAAAAACGAAGAAGTGCGGAAAAAGCCTTATCAACCGAATATGATGTGAAAATAAAACCGCTTTCGTCTGCAAATCAGTATATCGCCTCTTACATAGAATTTCACGCATATCGCGCGGTGGTTAGAGGTGCTCTGCGTCGCACATAAGATCGTTGGCTCGATCTCACGCTCATGACTCATCAAACCATTCATCCCTCCGGGGTCTGTAATTTGATACCAGAGTGATCTCACACTTGTCCGGGAGAATAAGCAGCACTAAGTCAATACAGCCAGAGGCCACCGCGAGTCATTTTAAAGGCCAGATATGCATTTATTCACCTCAAGCGAAGTCAGAAATTGAAGACGAATGCACGGCGCATCCCTCAGGGATTGATCAGCGCCGAGAGCCTCATCCTTTGAACCAAATTTTACTGATTCCAACTGAAGGATAGAATATGCTAATCATTGTCTATGAAACATCTTTCATGCTTTTTCACAACGAAAATCTTTTTTTTGGGGCCACGACATAAGTTTCAACTTGTTCCATCAAGGCTCATATTTGGAACAATATAGCAAATGAACAAACAGGAATTTGTCCTACACGACATGTTTCCCAATATATTGTTCATGCTCGGAGATACCGCCCATACATGGGGAAATTCCGGCACTTATGAATTCACTACCAAATTTTTCAAAAGTCCTCCAACGTAGTTGATTATGAAAGGAAATGATTCAAAAACTATGAGTAACTATTTAGATGAAGTAAAGCCTTTTCTATTAACAAGCACAGTTGTGAACTCCGGAGATACTTCATTGATTCAGAAATTATCAACAGTTACCAAAAACCACCGCCGTCGTAAACGCTAATGTTCTTCAGATAAAAACACTTCTAAATGGAAATTAATCGAATTTTAATGCATATCGCAGTGTTATGATGTTTTCTATATACCTAAGAGAACTGAGTGGTGAGCAAAAACGCGGCCTCAGGCGGGAATCAAACCCGCCTTTCATCATATCCGGGGACACGTGCTCTACCACTACACCACCGAGGCTCATTTGCCCGACTACTAATTCTTCAACAACTCAATGTGAGCTATCAGCCACCAACCTTTTACAGGTTTGGTCGGTATGCGATTTCGCTTTTTTTTTGAATTTTTCTTTCGGATTTTTTGTACTTTCAAATGGCTCAACAACAACGATCAGAACGCTCGCAATTCAACACAGTGAAAAGCTGTCACCCCACGACATTTCAGTCTACTTAAGTTAACGATAAAAGAACTTTCAACAAGATACCACAAGCATTCTTAGCATGCATCAGACGGCAGGGACACTGTAGTGTCTATGACCGATTGAAATCCTTTGAATTAGATGAGATGAACAGTTCACTGAACTGACTGAGCGAGCCAGTAATTTCTTATTCTTTTCTCCTTTCTCTTGACGAATAGAACGATCGAATAACCATCCCAAAAGAAAAACAATGGGACCTCACCTTCCTCCGTCTTCTAAGAAACGTACACTAAACAGGCTCACATATATCTTGCACTCCAAGCGAACGGAAACGCGCCGTCGGAAAAACACGCAACACATTCAAGCAACGCGTTCCTCCGTTCGACTAGAGCGCCATGTCTATGTGCGCTTACTTTAGCGCATATTTTCAATGGGACCCGGGAAAGGTGCGATGATTTGGTTTTTCAAGACAACAGCTCTACTGTTCAATTTCCCGAAAGGAAAGAAGGGAAAAAATCATAGCTAAAAAGAGGCAGCTCTTGAAAAAAGGAAAATTCAATGTGCTGTTCAGCAGTGCATGGCTATTATGGCGTCCATATCGATAGGAATGTGTCAATTTTCATACTATCAAGTGGCACAGCGATTTTCGTTCCTGGTTAAGAAACAGTAACTCAAAACACTTCAGAAATCTAGTACTTATTACTGCATCTTAGGGGCGATCAATGAATTAATATAGAACAAAAACCGTAAACCTTTGTTCTGAACATCAAAGGCCATATTACTAATCAAACGAAATTTCTTTTCATTTGAACGCTTCTAGCGGTGGTGTGATGTCATTGATAAACCCACTGATGTAGAGTGATGTGCAAAACTTTTGCGTCAGTTGGGACTACAACCCACATTTCATTCTGTCCTGGGGCGCATGCTCGAAGCGTTGTACCAACGACGCCCGTTTTGACACTCTTCTTCTCGTGCTAATCACATCATACCGTTGACGGTTGGTAGCTGACAGATAGATGCGTTGTAGCGCAAAAAGACTAGTGTAAAAACAGGTCTCCGTAGTGCAACGGTTTGAGCACGCGCTCTCGGATAGGATGAAATGTGGGTTCGAGTCCTAACTGACGCAAAAGTTTTACACATCACTCTACAAAAATAGCCATACTATTTGTTATGTAAAGACAAAAAAGGACGAAGGATAAAGCTCTCGGCATTGGTCAATTCCTGGAGGATGCGCCATACATTCGTCTTTAATTTTCAGTTTAGCTTGAGGTGATTTAATGTTTACCTAGCCTTTACAATGGCTCGAGGCGGCCTCACGCATTCTCGAATCAGTGCTGCTTATCCTCTCAGACAAGCCTGAGATCAGTACCAATGTGCCTGGTACCAGTTTACCGACCCTGAAGGGATGAATGGCTGAGCCATGAGCGCGAGTTCCAGCCGTCGACCTTGTGTACGATGCAGATTACGTCTAATAGATAGATAATAGGCAAACACCAACAATTCTTGACAATCACCATCTGTATGGTGTGCCATATGATCCCCTGTTACTATAAAGTATATACATAAAATCTTAGCTTATTGAGCTGGTGAAAAATTTCTCAGACTTCTTCGTTTATCTTAATTGTTTTTATGCATTTAAGTTCGTGTTCTTACTGTCGTTTAGAGCAAATTCTTGTGGTTATTTTGATATAAAACACTTATCCATTTGCTTAAGGATGGGATTGTCTCGAGAATAAAGACGATTGTTGACCTTAAAAGAGTATCGTTTGGGTTGAAGTGCTGCTTCGGCACGCAGCGATACTCGTGCAACATCAACTATCGTTTTTTCTCTCGGAACAATCCCATCCTGAAACAAATAAATAAGTGTTATATATCAAAATAACCGCAAGAACTTGCTCTAAACGACAGAAGAAACAAAAACTTGAATTTATGAAAAATTATTGAGAAAAAGGAAAAAGTCCGTAAAAGTTCATTGCCAACTCAATGAACATTTGAGCACCTAATAAAGTGCAGCTTAACAAAGAGAAAAAAAAAAGCTGTCGAATTGGAGAAAAGGAGAGTTCGAGATGTTTATACCTACCCGCAAACGAATTCCATACAACTTTCTCGATCACAAGAATGAAGAGCTTCTTCTATTGATCTGCAAGGGATTTCGATCGATATTCCAGGATTTAGAGACAAGTTCCAGAAGGTCAAAAAATCAGGCCAACGAAAATTATGGCGAGAAATGCTACGAAGGTAAAGCTTTAAAAGAAAGCATATGAGAACTCACGTCAAGAATTTCGATAACGATATTGGTCTTCTTTCCATCTTGAACTAGTATTTGAACATTACAGAGAGGATCTCGACACGAACAAGTCACGACCAGCCCACCGTCCGACCAAACGACCCGCCACCGACTGACGTAAGGGGGGTCGATCGACCACCGTGGCGTGTGCCTGACACAGAGCGGACTGCCTCGACCGCAGAGCGACACTGCCATCACCGGCGGGTTCTGCATGAACAGATCTCATTTATTTCATGAATAAAGCATAAAGGATAAAGCCCTCGGCGTTGGTCAATCCCTGAGGGATGCTTCATGCATTCGACTCCATTCGTAGTATTGTTTGAGGTGATTAAAGGCATTTTTGGTCTTTTTAATGACTCGTGGAGGCTTTTCGATGTATCAAGCCAGTGCTGCTAGGATTTGTCGACCCCGGAGCATAATACTATCGTACTTAAACGGGTGTTGGTCTTGTTAATAACAGATAGCATGAAAACAGAGTGAGAAGGATGTTTGGGCTGATCATTCACAAGTTGCCCCAGATTTGTTCCATGACAACCGTCTGGTCTTCAACAATCTATCACAGTGGTTTCACGAACAAATTGTTAGATAATTTTTGAACAACCTATTTGCACTAACAAAAGCAGTGATAAAACTTAACAATAAGGACGATAGAAATAGGAAATATGAGAATGAAAATAGTAAGTAATAGACATGATAGCTGTCGAAGACATGTCCTGATATTCAGTCAATTTACCCTTTCTTGGAGAGTTTCCATCTTCATCACTTACATAACCAGATGGCGTAGTAGTGCCCACCTGTTCAGTGTTTATGGTACAAGATCACCTTTCATTTCCAATGATGTAGAGTGATGTGCAAAATTTTGATGTCAGGGAGGACTTGAACCATCAACTAACCCTTTTCGGAGTCGCGTGTTAACCAATTGCACTAACAACGCCTGTTTTGCCACCGCTCTTTCTACGCTACAACGCATTAATCTGGGTTCACTGTCGATATCGACTATCAGGTCAAACCGTTGTCTTTGGCTGCTGACAGATAGATGCGTTTTAGCATAGAAAGAGTGGTGGCAAAACAGGTGTCGGTGGTGCAATTGGTTGAAGCACGCACTCCCTGAAAGGGTGAGATGCGGGTTCGCGTCCCGCTTGACGCAAAAGTTTTGCACATCACTCAACATCATTAAGCATATTTGCAGAATCATAGCACCGCTAGAAAGCACCTCGAAGCTAAACGACAATCAAGCCCGCATTCCACCCTTTCCGGAGGCGCGTGCTCTCCTTTTATTGAGAAGATGAGAAGGCTTTGAACATTCCTGAAAATTAGATCTACATTATTATTTAGCAGGTGGTTTTTTTCTACTTCTGGTTATTGATTTCCTTATTTTTTAGCTGAAATTTATTCAATTTACGTCTGAGAAGGAAAAAACAAATAAGTAATTCTCGGAAATTAATGTCGGGTTTCAATCTGCTTCTTTGAAATTTCATATCTGAGCTCAGAATGACTTCATTGGTTGAAACAAGCCTATATATGTACGCATTTATAATAATAATCTGCAGAGGCAAGAGACCACCTCTGGCGATAGCTTAACAATGTGGATGGCTAATAAGAAGGGCAATCAGTGTGACCACCAAAAAAATGTCCTCAATACTTTGAATAGATACACAAGTTTACAAGATCCAAAGGTGAGACTTGGTCATCTTCCTGAAATTGACCCGAGTGCCATAGACAGTGGGCCGAAGAAGTATTGTAATCGGTACTTACGATATCCATGGAAGTGGACAAAAACCTTTAATTAACATTTCTTTAGCACTAGCGTCCTATAGTTCTGTCCGTTCACCATGTTTTACGTGCTCTTCAAGAAAAGGACTCCTATTTTGTATGCTTGCTAAGACAGATTACCTAGAAATTTTTCAAGGACATGGTCTTGTACAAGATCGTACTATTAGGGCGAAGTGTTAGATGGTTATAAATTATTAGAAACAAGAATTCTTTTTTATTCTACCGCTCGCGATGAAATGATGTTACAAATAAACCCAATGATGTTTAGTGGTGTGCAAAATTTTCGCCTCAGCTGGGACTCAAACCCGCACTTTACGTTTCAAGCGTTGTGGCGCGACGGGTTAGAGCACGCGCCGCCGTACAGTGTGAAATGTGGGTTTGAGTCCCGACCAACTTAAAAGTTTTGTGCACCACTCAACATCATTTGATTGAGAGTTGCTTTCTAAAGAAGTGCAAACCCGATTCCTTGTTCCAGCGGAGAAACTCGAGGCACGTCTCTACCATTTACCTAGGAACTAACTTATGGCCAGATGTTTGCCACAGAAAACAGATAAATGATGGATTTTCTCAAAATGTATGGACCGAAATGTAATGCTGGAATTCACGGAAACATTAAGAGCAAATTGCCATGATCAGACTTTAACATTATCTTTCTTAAAACTGGTTGCTGCTATAATCAAAGCACATGGAAGGCTATCATTTTAATGCTTCTACTAAAATTTGAGCCTAGGAAAATCAGTTCCCATGATTCCTTCATGAAGACTGCAGAGATGAAGCCTAACGAGCGAATTTGTGCCCATTGTTCATACCACATTCACATCGCAGCCTGTTTTTCTAGAAATCGGTTTAGAAAGGATTACCTAAAATGACTCCCTCAAAAAAGGAAATTTGTAGCGTTTTGTTGTATACGTCCAACTTTACGTATAATGGCGAAAGTAACTTGAAATCTCGATGGGGCACGTTCACAATGAAGCGCACGGTGCGCAAATTGTCCGGAAAGTTTCGGCGTGGATTAACGGATGACAACAACAATATAAGGACGATAATTGAGGCTGATCCTGTAAATCAATAGATCTGCGCGTACAAAATCCAGGATGTGAAACATCGTATTCCTACTTTTCAGTGGGTGCAGTCTGTCGCGCAATTACATCTGATAATTGCTCGTCTTTCTCGGGCGTTATCATGATCTATAAAGCTTAGTCAGAACCACGATACATTCCTGGAAAAACAACTGTAAAGAAAATGGTCACCATAAGAACGGATTAGGCTAAATAATAAGAAGACATTCAACCCATGGTACAAGTTAAATTATTCTCAAAACAGTATGACAAACAAGTCCAAATGTGGACTGCGTAGGGAAGTGGTGCCTCGATGCAGTGCATGATCAAAAAAAAAACTTTTTTTTTTGGAATTATTGTACTGCGTTCAAGCCCTCAAATGAAATGATATTGGGAGTAGACAGGAACAAATTCTAAGGCAGCAATTTTCGTACCTCAACCTCGCCCTCTACGGCTTACTTTGAAGTGTACAAACCGTATGATATACTCTGCATTTCAACATTGAATTAGTCTTAACATTTTTCGTGTGAACCTTCTACGTAATTAGAACACAATATAATGAACTGGAAAAAAAACTATGTGCAAACTCTTGGTACAAAAGCAAATAATCTTTATGACTCGCACACAATGCAAATGACATGAAACAATATGACAATGATAATTCTTCAACAGCATGAGACGGGAAGCAGACACAATTTTCTTCAAGCGCATAGCGTATTCCGAAGTAGAGCACTCATGCTGAGATCCCCTACATTTCGAGTTCCATAAGCATAACAAAATCTAACATTGACATAAGCTAAATACGGGAATACTTATGCAGTAGACCAATTAGCACAAGATACACTGTATGATTAGATCGGCGCATGACGGACGGTGTGCATTCTATACAATCATACATGGCGAGCCAAGTGGGCGATGTATGCCATGAGTGTAATTTTTCCGCACAAAACTATTCTCCTCGCACTTTTGCTATCTTTCGGTAGATTATCGTAAGCAGACAAATGTAAAAGTAGCTCCTAGAAAAGCTTTGCCTATGAATCTTTTTCTAGACAAGTTTATCGTCAATAATTCTATCCGACCTGAAATATCATGGTGGGGAAGAGGACCAACTTCTTCATTTTTTTGATGGATATTTATTGATTGTAAACAAAAAGTTGGAGATGTTGAGGAATTTATTGAAGTACGTGTCAGACACTCTATAAATTGCTCGAGATTGAAATTCTGGTAGCGTCATTTCAATGAAGGATGCTGGTCCTGTTCGATGAACACCTCTTTGACAATGATAATAAGAGGCTAAAAATGATTCTGAGATACATGGTGAACGGTTAGCTCGGTAGTAGTCCATCAGAGATACTAGTATCCGCCGTTAGGTTCGAACAAACAAGCTAACTTGTCCATAAAAACGGTTCTTAGTGATGTATGTGCATTGAGTATTGTTTTTCCTAATCTAATCAGTATACAAAATCTAATTTAACTGAGTTTTGTATTGACTGTGACTATAAAGATTTCTGTGGCGAAAGGAATCAGCGAAAAATGTTCGTTCAGATCAATCCGCACAATTCCAGTAAGTGTTTAGTCAAATGGACGTTCATCCTCGCGAAAGAGTTAAAAGCGCATTATGATATTTACAGAAAAGCAAGGATGAGTTGAGTTAAGTAAAAGTCAGACGGGAACAGATGAAAGGAGGAGAATTTCCCATTTACTTGAGAATCGTAAGGGACATAAGAATACAACATTTTGAACATAATACTAAACACTTCAAATGCAACAAAACATTGAATGTGAGCACTTTTCAGGGAAACTAGAGCTAGTCTAACGAAATCTTTGCAATCTTATAATTGCGCAAAAGTAGAGATCATGAGACACATTCTTGCAAATTTAAAACATTAGCTAATCTAATCAAACGATCATGCTGTCTGCAGAACTGTTGAGGTAATCTAACACATAGGACTGAAGGGAATTTCGTGCCTCATCGATCCAAAGTCCACCCATAGAATATCTGCCATTAAAAAAAAAACCATTATAAAGCCATTAATAGCTTCCGTTATGACAACTACTTCACACTAACCTCTAGGCGCGCACTGCGAATTTGAAAAATTATTAAGGTTCGTATGAAATGGAAATAAAGTTACAAAGTTGGTCATAAAGCAACTTACTTCTTGTAGAATTCCTCTTCTTTGAGAGCCTGGTATTTAGGACGATCATTGCAGTCCTTTGTCAGGCTTAAAAAGTATTTCAGAAAATCTTTGTTTCAACGTTTCAATTAGCGAAATTGCGTAATAACGAACCATTTGCTAACAAATGTCACAAAACTACGAGAAAACTGTCCGTCCATTCTTAGCACTGGTGGATCTCCTTGTACAACAGCACTCAACTGATCAAAAACTGAATTCCATGGTGGATAGGGGAATTCTCCAATCGCAATTTCACACTGAATTCTCAACGAGTACTGATAGTAAATGGATAGCAAAAACTACAGCAAAATAGTGAAGAGAGTAAGAAGGAATTGACCAAAAATTTTAGAACCAAAGAATCCAGGAACTCACTAAAGTGATGCCGAGAGACCAAATATCTGATCGAATGTCGTATTTCTGGCCATAGTTGGATAGGCGTTCAGGCTTGAAACATAGACGATCGATCGGATAACAATGAAAGGATTATTTTCTTCAGCTAGCATTATCCTATTCTTATTTCCTTATTTTTATTATTTCTATTCTTCCAATTTATTTATTTATCAACTATTTATTATATGCAGCTATCTGAACAAAACAAAGCTGAAGAGTAAAATTACAAATGATAGCAACTGCTGAGCACGCCATAACAACCGCCTCGCTGTGAAATTTCCTCAAATCAAAACACATTTTTCAAAGATTATTTGTCCATCTGCCTTTTTAAAGCGGTAATATAGAGTTATAACTGTATATCCAACAGTGCTGAAAGATATGCAAAATGGAGCTCGAGCGGGCGTAGAACCCGCGCTTTCAAGGACACGCGCTAGCTAAATCACCACCGAAGCACCTTCTCCGCTATCACTCTCTCTAAAATACAAAGTCGATTCTTTCAGCAACCAGAGTGATAGCACAACTAAAGTTCCAATTGTGCTGTTAGCATGAGTCCTCTGAAAGCTGAAAGTGGGTTCAATTCCTGCCGAGATTCAAGGTTTTGAACATCGCCCAACATTTTTGGATTGAAAGAAACTTGTTTACTTCACGAAATTTGTTTATGGCGGCAGATTTCAACAAAACATGTACTTTTACACAATCATCACTTTGCTGGACCAACTCACTGAGGAAACTGAAGTGAAATTTATTTAGTT